TTAAACACAACAAGCAAACAAAAAAAACAAAGGGAATATTTTTTAATGTAAACCTCAGATTTTAAAAGGCAAATTATGTAGGTCAGGAGGTGAAAAACTAGCAATAAATTTAGCTCAGTTTTAAAAAAGAGCCTGTAGAAGTCATGCTACAAGTTTCCAATAACCAACTACTATGTTTACAGTGCTGAGTAGGTGCATAACAAAGTCAGCAATGTGAATATAAAGTTGATCCAGAGAGTTTAACACTCCAGCCCAGAGTGTTAGAAGTTACTCTAAAGAACATGAAGTTATATAAACCTCTGGAGATGGGAGGAACATTGCAGTCCCCGAGAAGGAAGGCTTTGAGTAGAAATGATGCAGAGAACCAGCACTGCCAGCTGCATCACAGACCTACAGCACTATTACAGTGGTAAAGGGTAACTTTCCATCTACCCCTGAGAGGTGAGCACCAGGTGAACAACTCGGCATCATCTAACCCTCTGTGCTTTGGGAAGGAAAGATGTCTCAGTCCTGACTGCCAGCAGTCTTAGATACCTGTCCTCGACAAACACAACCAGCGACGACAAGCTTACTTAGATCTTTGCATTTTTCAATGTTTGGTTTTGTTCTTTTGCCATTAATCTTTACCACGCAAAGTGACCAAAAGTCTACACTAAATCCAAATTAATGTCTCCAAAGAACCAGTAGATGGCAATAAAAAGTCTGTGATAAATTTTGATTTTGGAAATAAAACATATTAATGTACAGCAAAATTGTAATTTTTAAAACTTTGTTCACATGGTCCCAGGAGTCTGCTTCAGCAGCAAGCATTTCTAAAATCTTATATGGACAAGTCCATAAATCCTCCAGACATGTGAAAGGTTAAAACTCTCACTGAGGAGAGAAAAAAACCCTGCGAACAATCTGATTTCCAGTTACTCAGAAGAATAACTTACCTCAAATAGTTTACAACTTTATATTCAGACTAAACCTATAGTTTCACGAATCTTACGCACAGTAAAATATGTATGAAATGTATAGAAATCTGAAATCATTATTCTTAAAATATTGTCAAACAGTAAACAAAAAAGTCAGTAAACTTTAAGTTTTCATACTACAGTAATCTTTAGAAAATTTCACTGTTACACTTATACTATTCAGCATCTTCTGATAATTTTTGCCAGGGTTTTGGCTTGAAATGAAACTCTTTTTAGAGGGTTCACAATTACAAATCTGGGGATAAACCAAATTGCAGTGGCTTACCTGTCTAGTATATAACATGAAAATCAAATTACTATTTTCTACAATATGAAAAATTAAAACATTAACATCCGTTTTAAAGGAGGACTTTTAGATATGATTTCTTATGTATATGTATACATATTATATATATGTTCACAGATGAGGTGGAGGTATTCTTGAATATAAACAGTATGTTAGCTGAAATCACCAGTGACTTGGATAAATCTTTTTTAACATTCAGAATTAGTACTGGTGTAGAATTCTTTTATGTATGCAAAATGAACCAAGTAACTACACAATTTACTTAAAGTGCTTTTTTTCCATTTATCTTTCTGTATTTTCTTATTTTTATCACAAGTGCAAGCATGGATAGGTCTTGGCTAGGGTAACTACTTCACTAAAATACCAGATGAATAAGTTTGCTAAGTATTTTCTCAAAAAGGAATTGTAAAGCTGCATAGTAAGGTTTGTACCTTACTATGAAATGCTTCATAAAAAAAGCCGTATGTATAACTTGCTAATTAGTATTTGTTACAGGTAAATAAGCAACTTTTTCCTGTACATTTAGCTATTAGACAAAAATTTAAACCATACATCAATATTTATTAGTAATACTACTCCTTGCACTTATGCCTAGAAACTGACAAATGACTCAGGTTATAAATGAAACACCCTCAGGTAGTACATATGCATGAATATAAATATGTGAATCAGTATAGAAAATACACTGTACTACAGAGAAAAATTAGCACATGTGAAGACCAATACCTGGAGACTTGCCAAAAAGATTTTGGCAGTAATGAAGTTAACAGTTATACAACTGCTCCCAGGAATTATTTTCTCTGATTACAGAGCAACTAGATTGAGGATGTAGAAAGAATATACTGGGCAACTAACAGTAAGATATAAGGGGATAAGCTGCCATGAAAAGCACTCCTTGTTGCTTCTGAAAGTGGCACTGACAACTTGGAAAAGAGATACTGAAAACCTGAAGGGTGCATGCTGGAGGGCCAGCGTAACTTCAGGGTTGAAGAACCTCATACAAATAAAGGCGGAAGGAATGGGGTTTGCTCGACTTACAAAAGAGAAAGCTCATGAAGAGGGGGAAAACGTTTAACAGGCAGTTTGAGAGTGCCCTCCTCACAAGCACACACAGCTAAAGGGCAAGAGGCCATAAGCTACAAGTTACTTCAGGGAATTCTTTCTTGCCACTGAAAAAAGGCAAAACCCAAAACAGTTCTTTGCCATGAGAACAAAGCAATAGGTTGGTCAGCAAAGCTGTAGACTTCCCCTCACTGGAAGCATTCAAGTCTTAGCTTAGCTTGACAAAGACATGGACAACCTAATCTAGGATCCTGCTTTCAGCAGAAGGTGGAACCAAATAACCTCCAGAGGTGCCACCTTCCAACCTAGACTATTTTGATTCTGTATGTGAAACTCCGCAGCTATTGTACTTTAATACCTGTCACAAACACATAAATCATCTAGCAAAAAACTGCTTTATGCACAGCTGTTTTGCTTGAACTTTGCACTGTTACAACTCCACTAGTGCCAACAGATTTATGTCTGTACGTCCATACTGATGCAGCATAATTTTCTGCCTTTTTTTCCCCCCAGTCTCCTTACCATGTACATTTGGCCAATATGTAAGTGGACTTCATACATGTACTAAACCCCAAGCTCCTGAATTCTAGACTTAAAAAGCTGTTCACTCTGCACACGCAGAACACTATATCATGCAGAAACACACCTTATTTCCACCTTGCCAGAATGGAGAAATTTATGTTACTGATAAGAAATAACCTAATTAGTACTGTATCTTAAAAAATAAAATAAAATAATAATAAAAAAAAAAACTCCCATCTTTGCCAGAAAAAAAAACAGCACTGAAATATGATAAAAAACATTTTAATTCTTTTTTTTAAAAAAGGAAATAAAGGGAAGAGCTTAATTTTGACATAACAAGCCACCTAAGATTGCTTTTGCTCAGGACATGGATGCAAAAGATCAACTGCTTAGTAATTTCCAAGAAAATTTCCATCTAGAATGCAAAGGTCTGATGTTGCCTAGAACCAGATGATAAATATACCTTCTCATCTGTTAGAATCCAAACTGCTCCAGGAGACACTCTGGCAGTGTTTCATCATTTAAGAAAGAACTGTCATGCTTACTGCTGAGCTGATTGAGTGTTGAAGCCATTACAAGTGCTTAACAGTAGCTCAGAGAGCTTCTACTGTACACCAGGAGGCCTTTGATGAAGAAATGAACTTAATAAAATGGAACTCTAGAGAAAAGCAGATGTACCAGGCCACTCTCAACCACTTGGATTTGGATCAGCTAACACTTTTAAACATAGCAACTCCAGTTTCCAGCCTTTGATAAATAGACTGTCAGCTCCACACCAAGAAAAAACAAAGCTTAAGAAAAGGTTACGTCCCTAATGCCACTCCATACCTCTTACAGAACTGACTTTTAAATACATATATTTTTATGAAGCTGATGAAAATCTATTTCAAATCCTTATTAGGACTCCACAAAATCAAATCCACACAGCCCAACTGTTTATGAAGCCAAGTTTACTATAAATATGGTAGTTTTGTCCTTATGCTAGGGTCACTTTCATTCATACCAGAGCCGATTACAGTCATCTTCCCAAAACCATATTCGTAGGCTGTAAGGTCAGATTTTATACCACAGCTATAAAGAGGGACCTTCACTACTCCTTAGTATTTCCAAGACAATCCCCAAAAGCCTCAATATGACATAAAACATCCAGGCTAAGTGCACCTCTGCAAAGAAGACTTCTATTAGTCTACTACATTTGAATGCTGGAATTTGGAAGACTTGGATACATTCACATGAAGTTGTACTTCAACAGTAAACACTGTTACTGATAAGTATTGCTTTTTTGAAAACAACTCATTACTAAGTGTTGTACATACAACTTATTTCTTGGAATTAACTTCCAGAGAAGTCATGAAACTGATTTAATTAGCATTCTTTGAATTCATGAGAATCTGCATTACAAAAAATGTAATCAGGAACAAAACTCTTTGTCAACAATTTAAAAAAAACCAAACAAACAAACAACAAAAAAACAACACAACAACCAAAAAAAACCAAGCACTGCAGAATTAAGGTTACACACTGGTTTAAGCCACTCTCTCAACTATTAATCAAACTTCTTCAGAGTAATTGCCTCCTTATTTTTAAGTCAGATGTGATTTGGAAGAGTTTCACAGGAGCACAGATGCTTGCTTGGCATGTCCTACTTCACACCTGTGCTTTATGCCAGAAGTGTCTACGGTAAAGCCTGAAGAACTAAACACACTATACGACAGAACTATTTTAAAATTATGCTAATAAGGACTTTTTTTTCCTGCTTTAAGGACATTCACCTATTTCCCTTTGTTTGCAAGCGCACTTGCTGCATACAGTTAGCATCCATCCATAAGTAAAGGAGGAGTTTTGTGATTCTGCTCCTGATTCAAATCATGTTGCCATGGAAGCAGATGTTGGATTGATGAAAATAGGTCAAGTGTTAAAAAAACCTTAAAAAATAATTAAATATTATTTTAATGCTTACCATTATTTATTATTATTAAATGCCTAAATATTTTATTCTATTTAATTAACATTTACTTTATTTATACAATACATATTCCCATCAAAAGCATATGTAACTCTAGAGTCATAGAGCTACTATTAATCAAAAAACATTTTGCATAAATCTGCAGGGCTGGGTACTGAATGATTAAAAGAATATCACATGCAGTTCTTCATTCATTATGTCTGTACTGAGTGATGTCAAATGTTGCCACATAATCATCATACTACATTGAAATGGAAACATGTTTATTATTAAAAAGCACTAATATTTTCTGGAAAAAAAACATCTCAGGACATTGCTAATATCTGTGCTTGGTTTGGGTAAAAACAGTGCTTTTTCCATTCAAACAGATATAAATATTAACTGGATTCTCAGTTGCTTAAAACTAATAAAAATATTTAGTGGCAACTATGATTTATGTAGGTTAACCCATCAATTGAACATGTGAAAACATAAATAGCCTACTAAAATAAATTTCTTGTGTTCCTTAACATTTTCACACTGCCTGCCAACCTGCCACAAAACATCATAAAGACACCATAAAATTCTCATCTTCACCTGCAGTAAACACCAAAAAGTAAAATAACTCCTCTGTATCATGTGTTTCTAAATCTCTGCTAGGTGATCTAAAATGCTTCTCTGTCAGCACCCTGACACATCCAACAAATTTTTTTCCTACCTTGATGCTGATGTATTTGGTATGTCCTAGGTTTGTTCTAGAGGTTTAGCATGATATATTCTATTTTGGAATTTTTCTTTATAACTGAAATGCACAATTTAATAATTATTACAGTAAAGGCGCATCAGAATACCATCAACACATGAGATTTGTGTTCCTTTTTCAGTTTAGGGATCTTCCTGCAGATGAAGTAATACAGGAGACAGCAGTGCAGAATTCCCACATATTTAATCCAGCACAGACCTACAGCACAACTGTGTGTCCTCCAGACACAGCTGCCTCTGCCCTGCTCTCCTTCACCAGTGCACTGGGTCAAACAGCTTCCCCCAGATCAATTCCCTAATCTGACTCATCATGCACCAGATAAAAGAAAGTAACAGTGTAACAGATAAAATGGGAATAAATAACCATGAAGCAAAGGCAAAAATAGCCCCATTCCCTTAAGCTATCATAAATCTGTTGTTCTTCATAGTCCCACAGCATCCAGTAATCCTCCCTTCTACCGTTTGTAATCAATATTTTAACAAGAAATATGCCCAACATAACTACTGATTTAACAAAAACAAGTCTGTAACAAAGAACATGTTTAAATGTCAGCACAATGGAAATGGTCATCAACAAATTAAAATCATGGGGTTTGTGTTCATTTCCATATAGTTTCAAAAATAAAATTTATAAAATGTGTTTGGAGAACTCTTTTGGACTTCAAGAACTTTGTAACTTGTGTTACAAAACAAGATTCTGTGATCTGAACTATTCTCTCTTTATAAACATGCACCCATGAAGCCATTGAAGTTGTTAAATATTGTTAAAAATACACTGAAAGACTGTCCTTGAGGAGACTGCAAAAGTTTTAAATTTCATATTAAATAGTTTTGGAATTGTTTATTACCATCAATATTCAAAAAAATCATGTCATTAATTATGCAGTAGGAAAGTACTAAAAGACTTATGTTGGGTTTGTGTCTTTATGCATTCTCAGACAATAAACAGTTTGTAGTAACACAAACAACCAAACAACCTCAGACCAGTACATGTACAAACATAAAGCATACTGGATACTTGTGATTAAAACTGTTTTTTAAATATACCTTTTATGACAAAGTACATTATGGGTCATTTGGATTTTTTTTTTTCACTAAGATGAACAATAAGAGAAAACTTGAATTTTCTCTAACCTAATGGTTATCTGTCTCCTCCTCTAGCTCACCTAGCATCTCCAGCAGTCCCTTCAGACATTGTAGTTAATTATAGAACAGTGGTCTTTGCCAAAGTTGCTTCTCAGTGTAAGACATCTTTGCCTCTCTCTCCCTACTACCAATTTAACTTTTATCTTCAAGCTTTCTTCCCTTTTTCTTACTCTCCCTTTCCATACCACATAGATAATTTGAGAGACACTGTTAAAAAGGAATTCTAAAAGCTACCTAATTACCATGCTGCAATTCCTGTCATCTAAATGATTGCATGTAAGCAGAAATTAAACTTAGAGAGAAAAATATTGATATTCTTTTATGGGCTACCAAGAAGCAGAGGTTTGTCTAGAATCCACAACCAGCTTCACATTAAAACAGGTAAGATGGGAAAAATATCCATGAAACAAAGGCAAAAATAGCCCTAGCTCTTTAAACTGCCATAATCCCATACAGCTTACATTTAGTCTTACTGTTTTCATAAGATGATCCCTCTGAATATATAGTCCAGTAATGAAGTAGAGCATTGCGTTCAAATTGCCAAATTAGTTTTTTATTAAAATAGCCCACTGGGGTTAATGCAAATGGTCACACATGCCTAACAACAGATTACATCAGGCTGCCTGCAGACTCCAGCTTCACTAAGTCAGTTGAAATATTTAGAGTTAACTGTGCAAACCTTAAGGCTTGGAAAATAAAACTAAGCAAGCTCAAAATTCATTGGATAAGGCTTAACACCTGTGAAAACAACAATATAGTAGTATGTGCTCCTGCTGCACCTCTGTAAGGTGATGCAGTTTAACTACACAGACAACCCAGACTTTTTGCCAGCAATCCTGTTCCTAAAAGCCAAAGTAGCATAATGACAAAAGTCAAGGCAACACAACACAAGAAAGCTCCATAAGAAAGATATATATGGGCAAAGTCCTACAATCTCAGTTAATATATAAAATGCCCAGTCATCCCCTGCTTGTCTGACAAGGAACAACACTCAAGTATTTACTACATAGAACTGGGAAAAGATGAAACCCAAATGCTATTATAATTACTAGTATTTATAGTCATGATACATACTTGTTTCAGATAAGCCTCACAGGAAACA